GCTGGGTCAAACCAACCCAAGGTTGGGTTCAAAACAACCCAACCGCTGGGTCAAAACAACCCAATAGCTGGGTTTGTCCCTTTTTAACCCAGCGCATTTTTTAGAGTTTTAGAGTGCATTTTTTTGTCCCTTTTTAACCAGCATTTTCTAGAGTATAGTATTTACTCTTTGAATTCATTATGCACTGATTCTTATTTAAGCTACAAAAGTTATTTAGGTAAGAGCAGTGGGTGAGTTTTATATGCGCCTCTGTTGTCCCTGCTGTGGCGAAGTTTGCGCTCATGCGCAATCCAGCGTTGGGGAAAGTTACTTTTAAAAGTAATGCATTACAATATTGCGTTACTCCATAAAAAAGTAACTAATTACGGTACGTAGTTACTTTTTATGGAAAGTAATGTGTTACGTTACTTTTGCGTTACTTTTTAAATCTGGACAGGGCTTGCTTGTTTGTTTTTAAAATAAAAAAGTTCTATTTTTGGCAGATATAAAAGCCTTTTCACACCAAAAGTGAAATGAATAAGCCTCAGGCTGAAGGGAAAGTACAGTAGAATGCAGAAGAAGACATTTCAACACTTCAGCAATAAACAAAAAAAGACACATGTTTGTCTAGAGTAATTATTACTTATTATTATGGTTAAAGTGGATCATCGAAGCTCAGAAGCAGAGACATTGGTTAATAGAATGGGATTAAATAAAGCATATTTGTGTTGTTTAACATTTAATTATTGCAGCTTTGCATCATATTCTGAGTTGCATTATTTTAATTCATTTTGAGGAATACTGAATCTGTGTTTTAGTGAGATGAATTAATGCATATTCATATTTATTTTAAAACTACAGTAACATCTGATTTCTCTCAACACGGGGACAGGAGAGCTGTCAGTCAATAAATTGGGAAAAAAAAATAACTTGCATATTCTCTTGTAAATTTAAAAGTAATGCGTTACTTTACTAGTTACTTGAAAAAAGTAATCTGATTACGTAACTCGCGTTACTTGTAATGCGTTACCCTCAACACTGCTCATGACTATTAATTGGTTCAAGCTGACGTTTGCTCTTTGCGCGTCCAGTCACGTACCCTAATTAATATTCATGAGCTAAACTCATGCCATAGTAGGAATTGACTTCCGGCTAGAGCGCTTAACTTTTCAAACGGGACCCAAACACGCACACACGGGACAGGGGACACTCAACGAAAAGCTTTAAGGAGACTCTTTCGCTATCGTTTAACTATATCGGATTATCAGTCGTCGGACATACCGGACTGGATAAATCAACATTATTTAATGGCGAAGTGGATCATGTTTTTCTCTTAAATCTCTCAATGGATTATATTTATGAAGGCGATCAAAGGACTGAGATGAGAGGCATGCTTAGCACTTATTTTAGTAGTGACACCTACACGCGCAACATGTGTTGCACTGACAGCACGCGGAGCGCACAGACTGTGATATAGCTACTAAACACCTGACTCCTGCAATAATACATTCTATTCGTGCACATGCTAAAATGATCTCGGAGGAAAGAAGCAATCACATCTCTAAACAAGCTCTCGGCTTTCCAGTGGGGTTATTGATCCGCTCGCCCAAGAGACGCCTGGCAATGCTGGGCAGAAAGCCCAGCAGTGGATCTCTACAGTGAGTTATTCAGACACTTATGCATGCCATTTAATTAGATTTATCACACACGTGACGCAGATGAAGAGTGAAATGTGCATGAATGCACTGTAAGTCGCTTTGGATAAAAGCGTCTGCTAAATGCATAAATTATTATTAAATTATTATAAAGTTAAACAAGGATGACGGTGAGCGCATTTGAAGCAAAATAACAAATCAAGTGTCATTTTTAATGTTTTAAACAGAAGACACGCAAAGCATTTCCCAGACGGACAGTTGTTAGAATTGAATTATAATGCACTGCCTCTGGCCTTTTGCTGAATTCATGCAATGAAATCCATAGTGTAAAAATACTTCACTTTTGAGAGTTTGCACTAATTTGCTCAGCTCACTTCTCCAATAATAGAATTGCAATTTGAAGGGGCAGACCAGGGCAACTAACTTTTTTGTTGTTGTTGTCTCTGTTCATTCAGTAATAACTCCAACAGTGCTACAAATATCCTGGCCATCTTTTAGTATAAGAAGCATGCCTTATGTAACAGCATAACAGTAATATTAAACTATTTACATATGAAAACATTGATATATGATTGCAATATCATATTGGTCCATGGTACATAAAAAAAGCAAAACAATGCATCTCACATAAAAGTATGCCTCAGAGTGATAATGTAATCTAATTATAATATTTCATATTCTTTTCTTAATTGTTTGTTTATACTTAATGTATTAATAGATAGTCATATCTGTATGGTTTTGTCTCTATACAGTACTGATTCCTTTGTCTGCCAGGAACAATACAAGTTTAAAGCAAAAGTCTAAATTGCACCTACACTCTAAAAAATGCTGGGTTAAATACAACCCAGTGCTGGGTAAAATAGGGACAAACCCAGTCAAAGCAACCCAACCGCTGGGTCGAAGCAACCCAACCGCTGCCGCTGGGTCGAAGCAACCCAACCGCTGGGTCGAAACAACCCAACCGCTGGGTCGAAGCAACCCAACCGCTG